AGAGAGAGAGAGAGAGAGAGAGAGAACACATCGCCTCTATGTAGCATGAAATAGGCTAACCCAGTTAACGCAAGTCCGATTTTTCTTAGGTTTTCTGGGGTTATTGTTGGGGTTTTTTCAGAAAAATATATATAAATATAAATATATTATTAAAAAATAAAGAGAGAAAGAAGAACGCATCGCCTCTACGCAGCTTGAAATGGGCCAACCCAGTTAACGCAACTCTGATTTTTCTTAGTTTTTCTGGTTTTATTGTTGGGTTTTGAAAAATGCTGACAGCTTTGAAAAATATTCGCCACATTAAAAAAATCATGCGTTTCAAAAAAATGTACATGACAGTTTGGAAAATGGTGTACAATGTAGAGAGATGTGAGTGTATTTAAAAATGTTTTGTGCCATAAAAAATTATGTTACATATTAAAAAATAATTAATCATGTATTTTAAAAATATCTGTATAAAAAAGTTTAATACATATATAAAAATTGAACAACATGTACGGCAAGAAATAGACATCAAAACATATATTCAAAAAATTATGACTCGTGCATTTAAAAATCGTAAATGCATATAAAAATATTATAGTTATGAATAAAAATGCATAATGTGTATAAAAAATAGAGAAAACATATATTTAAAAACATTAATCATCTACTGAAAAAAATAAACATGTATAGAAATATATTCGTAATGTATACCAAAATATTAATGTGTAAAGAAAAGTAAACAAATGTTAAAATAAACAAAACCTGAGAAAGAAACAAATAAAATAGGAAGAACCAATAAGGAAATAATAAAGAAACCAAAGAAATCTGCTGCAAAACATTGAAAAAATCATAAAAACTCACGTGACGGCTACAGTATTTGCCCGGGCCAGTAGCCCCGCGCTATAGGTGAGACGTGGTTCGACTCGGGGAGAAATAGCATTTGCGAAGGACGTTGATAAGTGCCACACGTGTGGTTTTTAAGGGATCTGCTTATATATTTTGTGTGGTGTATAAGAGAAACAGTCCACACATTTACGTGTGGGCAAAACAAGTAATGTTCACACACCTCTTTTCTTTCCTCTTGATCTCTCTCACACGCATGCGTGTGGGCGAAATAGATAACCCCCACACGCCTTGTATGTCAGGCCTGGTATCTCGTGGTCCCGCATGTCCCGTTTGACAGTCATCGCGCGTCCCGCAGTTGCCATGATGCAGACCCTCGTTCATATACGTTTAACTGCAGTTGCCATGTCGCTGAACTTCGGTTGCCATGTCGGACAACTACAGTTGGCATGATTGCTCAACTGCAGTTGTCATGTATGGTCTGATCTACTGCAGTTGCCATGATTTCAAAAACTTTAGGAGTTGTCACCCACTAACACTAGACAGTTGCCGTGTAGCACTAAAAAAGACATGGCAAAAAAATATGTTCGGGTAAAAGAGAGTGTTGTCGGGTGTTCATAAACACGCTAGGGCAGTTGCTGTGTAAAGAGAAAGAGTGCCATCTACTTACGTCCACGCTAAGGCAGTTGCCATGTATCATGTAAAAACACATGGCAACTCGGGTAAAAGAGAGTTGTCATCTGCTTACAAGCAAAGCTAGAGCAGTTGCCATATACCCTGCAGAAACACATGACAACTGCCTGCTTGTGGTGTAGGCGAGAAGACGGGCATGTGGACAAAGTAATAAACGCCTATATACCAACCCCCTTTACATGCGTGAACACTGATGTGTGAGCAAATTGTTAAACGCCCACACACCAGCCTCCCGTATGGTGAAAAAAGACGTATGGGCGAGCGGATGAATGCCCACACACCAGCTTAGTCCTACGTGACACACAAAAACTGCTAGAATGCGTCATGCAGAATTGGTTGGACGAGGATCCATGCATGTAGGCGACACACGTATGGGCGTTAGTGTGTTTTGGTTTGCGAATCTAACCCCAATCATAACCTGCCAGCTATCTAATTAGCTAAGATTACGTTAAACCATTTGTAGGTGAGAAAATTTTGCGTTGGATGGCTTGCTTCCCGGAGCGAGCAAGAGAGCCATCATATCAAGGGCCTTGATATCTATGATTTTTACGTGCGAGAACAGAGTGGCATATCTAGAACTTTCATCTCCCAAAGTGCACCATCTACCTAAGCCAGCGATACAAATCGAAGCCAGAAACCGCAGAGGGGAGGAGCAGAGCAGGATCACAACACAGAGACGAGTGGTACAAGCATCAGTCTCACAGCCACATCCACCGTCTTCTCCTTCCTCGGATCGACACCGGAACACAGTCACGGCGCCATTATTGCCGGCAACGCACGCACACACGGATCGAACGTGCCAGGGGACACTACTGTCCACTACCGAGATATGTCCACTACCGAGATATGTACAGGGGACACGGCATCGCCGGCGGCCGCCGCATCAGGCGCTGGCCTTGTTGGCCTTCCTGCCGCGGATCGACTTTGGCTGCTTCGGCTTCGGCTTCGCCGTCGGCGGTCCCGCCTTCTTCGCCCTCTTCTGGCGCGCCGGCGCCGGCGCCGCCTTCTTCGACGCGGCCTTCTTGGTGGTGGCCGTCCTCTTCTTGGACTTGGGCGCCGCCTTCTTCTCCTCGGCCGGGGCGAGGCGGAAGGAGGCCTTGACCCGGACGAGCCGGCCCTTGGCGGCGAAGCCCCGGAGCTGCGCGCCCAGCACCTTGCGGTAGTTGCCCGGGAGCGCCTCGCCGTGCCGCTCCCCCACGCGCTTGGCGATCGCGTACGCGCTCGCCCCCGCCTTCCCGTCGGCCGCCGCCATGATCGCCTCCTTGATCATCTTCACACAGAAAGATCATTTCAAAACTCAACACAAAGACTGAATTCCTCCCGTACCTTAATCACATCAGGACAGAGTTCGCTCACCTCGAAGTATGGCGGGTGGAGCGGCCCCGCCGACCGGGGCTTCCTGCTCCTCGGCTTCTTCTCCGTCTCCTTGCCCTGCTCCCCTTGCTCCTCCTCCGCCTTCTTCGCCTCCCCGCCGGCGACCTCCATCTCCTCCCCGCCCGCACCCGTCTCCTTCACCTCATCAACCTTCTCCGGCGTAGCAACCGCCTCCGCCTTTTCGCCGGCTCCGACCACCGCCGCAGCAGCAACCTCCTCCGTCAAGGTCGCCATCGAAGGAAGCAGAGCACCTCCCCTCTTTTTCTTTTTTCTTGGAGAAAACCAGAGCAGCTTCTAGCGAGTGGTGACCGGTGAAGCGGAACTCAGAGCTGTGGCGAGGTGCCGGTCTGAGGCCCGCGCTTTATACCGGCCGGCGGGGCGCTGCCATTGGCCGGCCAGCCCCGCGGCCGGATCGCGATCCGTGGGGCGCGAGATCGCGGGCGTACGCGTGCCATCGCCGCGCGACGCGTGTGCCTCTTCTCGGATGTTCGTCGCCGGGCGTGTGCTTGTGTGTTTTCCGGTGGGTTCGGCGCATGTGCGTGCGTGCGTGTGCCGCCGTCCGTCTGCTGTGCGTATCGACGATCGTGCCACCTGGCTCGGCTCGTTCGACTTGGCGATGGGTGATGTAAGGTGAGTTCGCTGACACGTCCCAGTTCGTTGTAATGACGCGTCGTTTGCCACAAAGCCAGCCTTAAGGGTGGGTCCACCTCGCGAGGAAAACACGGAGAGACGATTGCCACGCGATCGGCTCGAGCGCTAGGGTTAGGGTTTTCTCAAGCGGTGGTGGTGAGGTTCAAGATTGTCATCTGCCTCTCGAATTTCTGGCTCGTTGGCAAGTCTCCATGCAAAGATCATTGTATTTTTGAAGGACTCAACGCTAAAATACTTCGTCGTCTTCACCCTTGCAAACAGCTAGCCACCGGGCAGCTCCTACACTTACGGACTACAACCTACGGACTGCTCTTACGGACATACATGTCCTTCTCACGCTAAACTCTTTCCTCCTGATTTCCAGCGGGAGCCCCAACATGACCCAGTAGGATAAGGCCACCATCAGCCCGTAATATTAATCCGTAACTTTCAGCCCGTAACTGTAGCAAAGCTTCTTCGACAGCTCCGCGATCTCCTCATCGCCAACAATCACGTCATCCATCTCTGTTTCCTTGAGTTTCATGTTCCTCATTGCCGATTCCAGGTCGATTGAATTCTTCCCCTTCCTTCTTCCTGCACTAGTGCTGCCCCCTCCATTGGATGGAGTTGCCCCTGCCATGGCTACGACCGAAACCCTAGATCACCACACCGCGCCGAGGCCGGGTGGAAGGACAAGCCGACCCCTTAGTCAGCCCAAGCGCTGGCGTAGGATGGGTGGGTTGCGCGGACAGGTTACCGGAGACCTCAACGACGACAACGTCGCCAGAGTAGAGAAACCCTTGTCGCCTCTGCGGCTAGGGTAGTACGCCCTGGAGGCTGCATACATCTTTCCCTAATAATAAAGCATGGATTAATTTTTATTTATGGGCCATCAGCCGGCGTGTACGTCCATTTTTCTGTCCTTCGCAGCCGGCGCACTGACTGGGTCGACCCGCTGTCACGTGAAAACAATCAAAATTTCAAACTATTGAACTTCAACATATAATTACGAAATCCAGGTTATAAGAACCATATAACATGACGAGATCTAAATAATCAAAAATTCACTGGAAAAGAAATGCTCCCGTGCAAGGGATCGAACCCTTCACTACAGATTTTGTGAGTGCTCGATGTTCACCACACGACATGATGACCTTGGTCTTTATCCTAATAACTAGCGGAGTATCCCGCACATTTGCGCAGCTAGATTTGTGATGCATTGTCCACATAAGTAATATCGATTTCCTTTTATACTCAATTGACTTTTCCCTTTATTGTTCTTTATGCTTTTCTAGTATTGTAGTGAGATACTGAATGTAATACTAGTAGAATGCCCGTGCGTTGCCACGGGCTTTTGAAATATTTGCTAGAGAAAGATAATCACAGTGAAAGTAAAAACCTTGTGGGATAACAATTGTATTTAACCTTTTAGGTTTGTTGTGGGATATCATTGCTTGCACATCGTTTTGCTATATACAACTTGGTGAGTTTTTCCCCTTTCAACAACGTTGCCCCAGGAACCTTGTAAATGAGTTGTGTTTGAACGTCGACAAGATCCATCCCCATCTCTCTGATACTCTGCAAAATTAAACATGTATAGAAATATACCATTTGAGTATTACCTCATGTGCAACATACATACAAAGAAGAACAATCCTATGTCACTCGGCAGTTTTAAAGCAACATCCAAATCCGACAATTTTTTATATGACCTACAAAGGTACTGTAATAGAAACAAATGTTAGAATTTTGTTATGATGATGGTATGGAAAATATATATTCACTGGTCATTTGTTAGAAATGAGCAATGCCCGGTTTAAACTGAGTGAGATGCAGAGTGCTTTGTAGTGAAGTCAGTGGCATCCCAGTTTTAATAAATTGTAGGCTCACCTCCAAATAACATGTTGATGATTATTATCCGAAATCTCTACTATTTAGGATATGGTATACTGCGATCACATAAAAAATGTTGCAATTCTCTAGGAGCAAACAACCAATTTTCTCTTTATATATAAATAAGCAGTCATCCGAAATTTCTTGGACCATTTTAATTTATTTATACAAGATAAGGAAAATTGTCCAACGAAAGATAAAAACATGCAAGCAATCCAACATAAACCAAGTATATTTTGTTTCTTCTCTCAAAATTGTGTTTTTTGTGTGATATTCTGAATATATCAAATAATTATAAAAAATCTTTATTTCTATAATCCATGTTCAATTAATATATTTTTGTTTTCGAGAATTATATATATATATATATATATATATATATATATATATATATATGTGGTTTTTTCGTACAACAAATTTTGGGATCCAAGGCCCAAATCAACATAGTCCACTCTCTCCTTCCCCTCACTATCCTATCCCGTACGACCCAACCAGCCCCCACTATATCTTTATAAAAAAAACAAAGAAAAAAAACAGCCCCCACCTTCTCCTTCCCCTCGCTCCATCGTTCCCCTCACTCTCTCCACTCCCTCTCCACTCGCGCACACGCAAATCCCTAATCTCGGCCGAGTCACCCACTCCACTCCCTCCGCTGTCGCCCCCACAGCCGCCACAACCAACGAACTCGTCTCCCACCGCCGCCCCCTCTCGTCCCCTCCCCTCTACTCATCCGACGGTGCTGACCATGCAGATCGAGCGACCAGGCGGCGGCCACATGCGCACACAACCGGCGACCAACATCACGCAAAGGTCACCACCGCCATTGCCGAAGGACGGTCTTCTTCCAACGAGCTTGCGCGCCAGGAGAGGAGCGGGGATCCTGCGCTTCTTCCTCGCTCAGCGCCCCTATCGCCACGCCATGGATGGACCTCTCTCTGCTCTCACCAATGCCATGTACTGAGCTCGCTCTCCTCCTCGAGGTAATCTATTCACCCATCGCCATCGTTAGGACCTAGGATGCGTGGTCACTGTAGATCGGGGTACCCGCTACTGCACACTTGGTCTCCGCTCTCCGTCCCCTGAATTCATGTCGCCCGCAGCCAAATGCTCCCGCCCAACAACCAGTTTCCTGCCCCAGCGACCTATCCTCCATGTATTGTGGTCTAACATTTGCCTCGGTAATCTTTAATGTAAGAGAATATGATGGCAGGTGGATAGAGCTAATGGCCTAATGCAGATCTGAAGAATACCAACATGAGAATAAAATAAACAATTCTTCAGTTAAAGTTTACTCTTTTTCATGGTGCTCCACGTTGACTAATGGTTTGATTGCCCAGTGAGCTCGTACATACATGTTTTCTCTCTTTGAATTGTTGTTAGATGAGGTACAGTCGCAACTACTACATCAACACTGTCATATATACTTTGGTACTGTATACTATTGCTGCCTACATTTACAATTAAGTTTGCTTGCAAACCCTCGTGAAAAAAGTTCGTCTGCCAAGGAACCACTCAAGTGGATATATATTCTCCTTAACTCTTCAACTATTTTCTTATCAGACCAGCTGCTGAACAAAAAACATAATATTGTTACCTCATATTTATTTACTTGCCTGCTTGATTGTTAGTCTGTTCCTCAGCGTGTGAGGAACGTAACAATGTCCTGCATGTTCAAATTAGTTATCTTGTCATTCCCCAATTTTCTTACTGTTCTTTTGGCCTTGGACAAGGTCAATCGGATGTGTGTGTTGACACAGATCTTTGATGTGGAAGTTAATATATCAGTCCTATCCTACCTCTCAATACTGTTTTGTTATATATATGCTGGGGATAGATGAAATAGTAGAAATTAACTATGCTGGTTATTGTCATTTGTGGTCCATTACTCTGACCTTTTTGATTATCTAAAGAAAAGGGGTTTATTTACTTTGCTGATTTCATTCGAGCTCTGAATGTATTTCATTCCGACATTTCATTTTGTCGATAATAACATTTTTCTTCTTTCTGAACATTTCTATGGGCAGATATTATCCTCCAAGCTATATGATATGGACAACACGTGATTTATGGAACGAAAAGAGGTGATTTGTCGAACTTTGTCTCTTTTACAATTTGCTACCTCTTATAAATTTTATGATTTATAATCTGAGTTAACAAAACCATTAAGATATCTTATTTTGTGTAATTAGATCATGTCATCCAGATAATTAGATTTCACCGCATGATGTTCTTTACCCCAGCCGAGCATAGTGTGCTGTCGCGCCGTCGATTTCCACGAAGTGGCCAGCCCGAGCCGATTCCCCAATGTGTCAACGACTACGTCCACTGCGTGATCCTGTGGGACATGACCAATCCACTGCCTCATCAACACATCGAGGTAACAAATCCCCTCCTAATACAGGTGCTTTGGTCGGCTGCTGGCTCTACCACATAGCCTTCCGTCCACAATGAGCAGGAGTTAATATTAGAATATGACCATCTCTTTCTTAATGATGTGTGCCTTGTATTTCCATTTTTTTTCTAAAAATATCGATTCAGGGAGCAAAAGGAAAGCATAATAATTATTATTTTTGACTTTACATTACATATCTCCAAGGTCCTATTTTTTGCTTGGTACGGGTAGTCATTATGCTTGGGCTCATGACCTTGATTAATCTATAGCTTGGTTTTGGGTGACCTATTTAACATAATAGTGCTATATGTTTGCATTTCTTGAACTGTCAGTAGGAACCTATATACCGCAAAATATTTGTTATGTCCCCTACGGAAGGTTTTAGACAGTCAATTGATTTTGTCCCATCCGACTATCATGCAGTCTGACTTCAGATGACTATGTTTTTCAGGGTGAATTGAGTTCAGATCTTTGAGCAAAGGATTGCGATTTTGGAGCTGCGGTGGGGCTATTCTTTATCATTTCGTATGTTGTTACTTCCTAGCTACTTGAATTTCTCTATTCCCAATTCACGGGATTTCTACTTTTTGACATTTCCCTAAATGATTATACACAACTCTGATAATGCGTGCCACCCAGTTTTCGTTCTCTATAAGAACCGAGAAGTACATATGCACTTTTACGACATATAGGTTCATATGGATGTGTTTGGATGACATATAGGGAGAACGATAGGATCAAATGTCTGTGACATAGAAAAAATATACTGACATGTACATACTATTCTTTCATAGTACATATATGCCAACAGAGCTACAAAAATATATTTGTAGATGAACCACAGTGATAGCTCATGTACCATCAGAAGCAACAGAGCTACAATAATATATTAGTAGATGTCCTCTGGTTTGATATTTTGAAGGCACGAACTGAAAGAAGCGCACCTGATATGCTATAAAATGTACATTTCGTTGCAGAATAATAGGTGGTTATAAATTGTGGTACTGTCCAGGTTCCAACAATTCATTAAAACTCCTATTTATCTGCAAGATACACGCAATAGGAAAAGAAACTAACAGAATATGGCACAATGAAAGGAAAATAATACTGCTGGAAATATTTGTGAGATCATGAAGATGTCAACATGCATCCATCCGTTTACTTGCGCCAAACCTGCAACTAAGTAGTTACTAACACATCATGTCTGTTTAGATATGTATTGAAAAGCCAGGATTATAAAATTCAAATAAGGGGGAAATAAGAGACTATACAGGACAACAATAAATAACATTGACTGTGCCTGCTTTGGGGCCGCATCATAAACACCGCGAAGAGTAAATCCTTTGTCTTATTCAAAACCCGCCAGCTTCTTAAGTGCGTACTTCAGCCTGTAAGGACTTCCTTATAGACGATGTTCTTCATTGAGATCTGTAAGGACAAGGCAGGTCTTTTTCGCTTCTTTGTTTTACTGCTTTGCTTCTTGCCATTATCTTTCTCCTCCTCCATCTCAATGAGGATCTTTATATTCCTCTTCGCGGTGGCTCGAGATAACGCGACATAGAGTTGACCATGAGAGAACACCGGATTAGGTAGGTACACGCCAACAATCGGAATGGTCTGCCCTTGAGCCTTATTAATTGTCATAGCAAAGCTAAGCCTTACAGGAAATTGCTTCCTCTTGAACTTGAATGGAAACATGTCGTTGTCAGACGGGCATAGGGGTATTCGAGGAAGGAATACCCTCCTACCTGCGTGTTGTCCGATCACGATTTCTGCGTCGATGGCGTTCCTCTCGAAACCTCGCACCACAAGCCTCGTCTCGTTACACAGACCATTAGCCGGATCAATGTTCCTCAGAAGTATGACAGGGCAGTTGAGCTTCAGTTTGAGTGCATGCGGAGGCAGACCGTTGGGAGTCAATCCATTTAGGAACTCGGGAGCGTAGTAGCCATATGGGTCGTCTTCTGCACTGTCAAAGCTATGGTAGATTACTTCTTCTCCCCAAAAACGCTCTACCATGCGTATGTTTATCTTGTCGACGTTGTCGTTCGTGGTGGAGAGGATTGCGCGTGAAGTCATGTAATTCGGATCGGACATGTTGTCAGCTAGTCTCGGAAACACATGGTCAATCAGCTTCTCCAGGTCGTCACCCTCGCCCGTAGACGACACACAAATATCTTCAGGGAGTCGTATGTTTCCTTGATCATCAACTTCCTCGGTACCATTGCCTACCCTTAGCAAGTAATCTGCAAACCAAGTGTCATTATGAGCCCTCATGTTAGTGACGAGCTTTAGCTGGCGCATACCCTTCCAGAGATGTGAACTTCGGAGGGTTGCATCTATTATCTGACCTCGGGACCCCCTCCTGACGACTGGAAGCACCTGCCTGAAGTCCCCGCCAAACACAACAGTTTTTCCTCCAAAGGGTCGGTCCCGTCTTCCCATGATGTCGCGCATGCTGTTGTCGAGTGCCTCGACCGCCTGTCGCTTAGTCATGGTGGCCTCGTCCCATAGTATCAATGAGGCCATCCTCAGTAGCTTGGCGGTACCACTCTGCTTCGTGAAGGTGCATGATGCGCCATCATCGCAGCTCAATGGGATCTTGAACCTCAAGTGGGCAGTCCTGCCTCCAGGCATGATAGAAGCGGCGACGCATGACGTCGCGGTAGCGATAGCGATGTTTCCCTCGCTTCGAACCTTGGCGAGCAGCGCCCTGTACAGGAATGTCTTCCCTGTACCTCCCGGTCCATCAACAAAGAATACACCCCAATCACCATGTTCAACAACAGCTAGGATCTCGTCGTATGCAACCCTCTGCTCCAAGTTTAGCGACGATGCCAATTTAGTGTTGTTGATGTCAAAATCGACGTTGCATTCCTCGATCACTTCTCTGGCCTCGCCCCCGGTTGGATCGAATGCATCGTCAATGCATGGAAGAGCGAAATCAGCTATGTCTTTGCCCATGGACTGCAACATACCCCTAATGTCAAGCAACACCATCTGTTCCACCTTAATTGGGCACGTGTGTGATCGCCGATAGTCATCAGACATAGGCTCGAAATGCCTATCCCATAAACCACGCACGTCGCCTGGCTCACAGTGCACCAAAATTGTTGCAAAGAGCCTCCTGAGCGAACATGGCATCGCCCACTGCTCTGCCTCGGTGAGACAGTCACCGAGCGTGTTATCTGCCTCGATGAGTCCCAACCTTTCGGTAGCCTCTCTAAAGCTCCCGCATAGCCTACCGTCCACGGTGAGCAGGTCCTCATAGGATGTCTTGCCAGCAACATGGTTTAGTAGCACACGCAGATAGTATCGCTCCCCCTCGGCAGGATTGGCAGTCACAATTCGACCTATCTGATAACGCTCCACCCGCTCTTTTCAATACTTCTTACCCTTCTGCCATGTGAACCTTCCAGGAAAATCCTTGTACAATATATTCCTAGCCCACGGGTGATTTTGGTTAGCTTTGAAATACTCTGCCAACATGGATTTGGAAGCATTCTCAGAGGCGACTACGTCGGTCAAGTGAGCTTGCTCATTGAATGCCACCCTGTGCATGTTTGGGAGATGAAGAGGCAACTGTAGGATAGGCGGGTCATTGGCACACAAGGGGAAGCCAAATATCCTCCACATCGCCTCCGGAGGAGTAACCCACCTCGCGTCTATGTATCTGTTGATCTCATCAATGTTACCATTGGCGTCAGGCTGGTCGATGCTGAAAGAAGCCCTATCATGGCCCTTGTATATGTAATTGTAAAGGTATTTGATGGCCTTTATGCTGGAGCAAACCTCAACGTTGATGTGGCAATTGAACATCCGCAGAAGGTAAGGGTTATACGGCACAACCCATCTGTTGTCCAACATTTTACCTCGAACCTTAGCCTGCCGACCATCATCTCCACGACGATAAACTGGGTATGAGTCTTCTCCTTGTGCCGTGTTTTCATTGAACGGCCGCGGGTATCTGCACTTGCACTCGTTCTGTTGCATGCACACATTTTTGGGGTTGAGAGCACCGCATGGTCCGTGCATCATATGTTTCACCACCAAGGCGTGGAGTTCAGGATACTTTTGCTTGTGTGGGAGCTCGGCAGAAATGAGTCGGTCGTACTGCTCCGGAACGACAAGCTTATAGGTAGAATCCGTGATCAACAAAAAGTGTGCGTGGGGGAGGCCCCTCTTATGGAACTCGACTACATATACATGTGCTACAACAACACCCAGAATATTCTTCTTGAACAACATCTCTTTCATAGCCTCTAGCTTGCCATGGAACACACGAGCCACAAGATCAGGTCGGTCTTGCGCTGTCTGACCAGGAAACAACTCATTTGTTATATCTTCCCAGTTAGGGTTGCAGGTCATGGTCAAGAAGATGTCGGGCTTCCCGTAGGTATGGACAATTGCCATGGCATCCATATGTCTCCGTTTCATGTCGCGGTCGCCACCTGGGTACGTTCCAGGGAGCACTATCCTTACTCCAACAGCGCTTGCCCGGGTCTTCCCGGATGTAATTGCATCAACTACTCCTTTATATAGGTCGGCACGGATCTTTGTCTGGTTCTTCCTGTACCATTTCAACCTACAACTCTCAATCTTGATGTACATGTCCACCCCCCATTGCTGGAGCAATCGTGCTCCATAGAGTATGGGATTGAATATCCCAGGTCGTGTCTGCAACATGTAACAGTAGTAGTCTCTCGCCGAGACGCATAAACTGCTATTCCCCTCTGCATATGGATGAGTAACGCGGACATTAGGATTCATATGAGAACTATACAATTCATCAAAACGACAGAATACGCATAAGGCTTACCTGCATCTTGATCATCATCATCATCATCATCAAGTCTACCTCTTGGTTGTTGCACAACCGGCCAAGGGACATCACGTTTAGATAGTTTCGGATGCCAACCGAGCTCACCCCTTGGGTAGAATAATGGGTAAGAGAGCGGGTCATACGATCCAGACGTTACATGTATACTGTGCCTTTGGTTGTCGTTCCCGCAAAGTGTAATCCTACGATCAAACCTCTTCGCTAGGTCAGTGCCCTCCACCCAAATAGCAGTGACCTCAGATGACAGAGGTCTATTATACCTCCGTTGGTCTAGTCTCTGGTCAGTGTTGAGGTCTATCCTGTAATCGTCGAGGTTGACCCTGTGCGCACCCAAACTCCTAAACTGCTGGGAGTACGGGTTTTCCCTGAGTATGTCCACTAACTTTCTGACGACATCCTGGTCTAATTGCTTGGTGGCAGCCTTGCGATGGGTTAGGCCTGGGTCGTCGTCGTAGAAGTACAACTGTAGATGCTCTGGACGGGATGTTGGCCCGAAGGAATGAACGTTGTGGTAGATGGTGCCGTGTGCCCGGAACGTGTACACCCCAGACTTCATATTTGTGTAGCTTTCATCAAGGTTGACGTCGAGGGTTGTGAAGGAGAAGTGGCCGTTGAAGAACCGTATGTTCTCCCGAAAATGCCTTGAGTCCGCATCCATGCTAGACCAAAGCCTCATTAGCTCCGGGATGGGCTCCGGCTGCTTCAGCTCGATCTGCCCACTGCGACAGCAGAATCCCGGGGCCTCGGACTCAAACTTCTTGGCCTTGCAATGATCGCAGTTCGCGGCGTGCTTCAGGATGTGTGTGTGTGGTCTGGGAGGTTTGAGTAGACATAGTCCAATGGATCATGGTCGACATAGGTATTGTGACGGTCATCTTCCAATTCGTCGTGCTCCATGTCATCAGCATCTGAGCCTGCAAACAATGTTTATAATTAGTGTGATATTCCCAAGGGGTGGATGTTGCTCAAGTGGGTGTACATACCTTCACCAGCAAACAGGTAACACTCATCGTCAAATAGGTTGTCAGGGTTGACATTATCATTCATGAGACGGCTAAGGTAAGCGTCCATGTCGTCTGCTCAGTTGCGAAACCAATAAATGAGGGTTCAGACTCAAGGGACGCAAGGAGAGTAAGGATTGGAGTGTTACCTTCACTTCTGATCGTGTACTCCGGCATGCTAGATGAGGTTGAGACACCGTGTGCTTCAACTACGGTAGGTTGTCTAGTTGAGCTCATTTCCGGTATGGAGCTACTCCTGACGCTTTGGGTCTTCACCCTACCTGCAAAGCTTT